GTGTTACTGAGATGCCATGTTTACATGTTACTTTATTTCAAAATATTTTATATTTTTCCTTTGAAAATTCCCTGATTTTGGGTTATTTAGATGTACATTTAGTTTCATAATATTTGGAGATATCTAAATTTCTAAAGAGAATTTTAGTTTTGAATTCACTTTCACTGTGATCAGAGTGTATACAGTTATTCATTGGTATCTGCAGCACATTGTTCCAAGAACCCATAAGGGCACCCAAATCTACACCTTCTGAGTCCCTGGTGTAAAAGAGTATAGTATCTCTGTGTTATCTACACACATTTTCTCCTAGACAGTAACTGTGTTAGTTATTTTTCTCTCATTGCTGAGACAAAATACTCGACACCCAAAGTTAAAGGAGGAAAGGTTATTTAGCTTAGTTTGTGGAGGTTTCAGTCCATAATCAGCTGGCTCCAAGGCAGAGTAGCATGGTGAAGGGCAACAGTTCAACACAACAGGAGACAGAAAAAGCCACAAGAGCAAAAACGGGTGGAGGAGGCAAGCCTCTTTTCCTCCCTTACATTGTGAGCCCGCTATAACCCCCTAGGGCAGGTGTAGCACTCACACTATCCCCATGCCCTCCTCTTGCACAGGATGAGGATATTTACAAAGTGAGGACCCTAGCCCTTGCTGAGTCACTTAGTTAAACTTCTGAACTTCTTAAGTCCACATGATGAATCAACCATAACAATATTTTAGAGTATAAACAGCCACCCTAGGATGTAGAACTGCTGAGTTACTTAGTTAAGCTTGTAAACTTCTCAAGTTGACACAATGAATCAACCATAACAGTAACCCATCTCTATACTACTTACACTACCTAATGCAGTGCAAATGCTATATAAATAGTTGATCCATTGCACTGTCTAGGAAATAAAGACACAAAAAATGGTCTCTGCATGTCCAGTGCAGGTGCAATTTCTTATTTTGAATATTTTTGATCCATGAGTAGATGAACCCTTGGATGTGAGACCTGGATATAAGAATAGCTGACTGTATTTTGTATGATTTTAATCACTCTATATTTACTAACACTTGATTTATGGCTCCAGATATGGTTTATCCTTTCAATTCTCCACGTAGAACTAAAAAGAATCTGTATACCACTGCTTTGGGGAGTGTTCTGTAACAGCCAACTAGATTAAGGCTAGGTAGCACAGTTCAAGTTATCCACGTCATTACTGATATTTTATCTACTTATTTTACCAATTACTGACAGTGGAATATCTAATTCTCCAACTACAATTGTGAATATGCATATTTCTCTTTTCAAATCTGATTTTGTTTCATGTAACTTGAAGCTATGACTTTGCTTTTTTTTTTTTTTTAACTGTACTCTTTTATTTTTTGATTGAACCCAGGGCCTTCATACTGAGCTACATCCCCACCTTTTTATTGTATTTTATTATTTTATTTTACCTTATCTTACTTTATTTATATTGAGACAGTATCTATATAAGTTACCAAACTGCCTTGGCTGGGCCTGAACTTGCAATCCTTTTATCTCAATCTCTCAGAGTACTGGGGTTACAGGTGTATACCACCATGCCTGGCTGAAGCTATGTTATTATGTGCATAAATACTTAGGACTATTATGCTTCATTGATAAAACAACTTTGTGGCAACATCTCTTTCCTGATACAAATATAACTGTCCCTGCTTTTGTTAGAATCATATGGTGCATCATTTTCCATCTTTTTACTTTTAGCTTGTCTAGGTCTTTATATTTTAAATAGGTCACTATAAACAGTATTTGGGTTCTTCTTTCTTTTTAAATTAAATCTGAAAATCTCTGACTTTTAGTTAGTGCCTATGGATTATTTATACTTAATGCAATCATTGACATGTTTGATTTTTCCTCCTTCCTCATATTCTACTGTTAAACATTGGAATTTCATATCATACTATAAACCTCAGTACTGAAGGTTGAATCCAGGGCCTTTTTACTGAGCTACATCCCAAGCTGATTCTTTCCTTTGACACAGGGTCTTGCTAAGTCACTGAATTACGTAGGCTAGGTGTTCAGTCTTCCTGGCTCAGCCTTTCTCAGTGGTAGGATTACGGGAATGTTGGGCAATATTGTTTTTACTTTTGTTTTAACTACCTTGTAAGAGTTATTTTAATGAGAAAAATGTCTTTTTATCCATGTATTCACTGTTCCTGTACTCTTCACACATTTGTGTAGACTCTGAGTGATTATTTTACTTAGATCTGAAGTAATTTTTAAAAATATTTCTTGCAGTGTTTACCTATATGCTATGAATTTGTTTGTCTCTTGTATGTGTGGAAAGTATTTGCTTCACATTTGCTTTTGCAAGATGACTCTTCCAGATGTAGAATCTGGAAGATGGCTTTTCTTCCTTCATGCTTTAAACATGTTGCTCTATTTTCTTACCCCTTACATTTTTCCAGTGAGAATCTGTTGTGAATATTATCTTTGTTTTGCAGTATTTTTTCTATGTGCTTTTAAGACTTTTTCTTTATCCCCAGTTTAAACAATGTGATTATAATAAGGCTTTGGATTATTTATTTCACATTTGTTTTGAACAGTCATTGAGCTTCTTGGGTCCACGTCTTTATACTTTTCTCTACATTTAGAAGAACTCCAGATATTATTGCTAATCTTTTCTAACCTCTTGCCTCTTTCTTCCCTTTCTGAAACTTTAATTTCTTTGCATTTAGTTGCTGATATCATCACAAACCTCAGCGATGTTGTGTTGAATTTTTTCATTTATTCTTTTACAGAGTTTCATGATGGATCATGTTTACTTCTGTCTTCCTATTGTTTTTTCTTCTATGTCTGGTATTACTTCTATTAGGAATATTTTTTCTTAGGTGTTGAATTTTCATGATAAACTACTTTTTAGTAGCTTTATATTTACCCAAAAAGTTTAAAGTATGACAGAGTATTCTCTCACATTTTCCACCCAATTTCCCTTTTTGTCATCATCTTACATTAATGTAGTACAATTTAGGGGCCAATATTATTAAATAATGATAAACCAAAGTCTATATTTTATTCCAGTATTATTGGTTTTCACTTACTTTCCTTTATTAGTCCATACTCTACTGTGGTTACTACATTACATTTAGTCTTTATGTCTCATTAAATTGTTCTTGGCTGTGCAGTTCCTCACATTTTCTTCAGTTTTAATCACCTTCACAGTTTTGAAGAGCACTGATTAGATACCGCTAATATGAATCATTCAATGTTTTTCTTATCATTATTCAGGAACTATTGGTCTTGAGAAAGATAATAGCACATTTTTCCTGTATAGAAATTTCATTTGTATCTTCTATTTCTATTTCATTTGTATTTCTTCTATTTCTCCTATTATGTTCATGACTATTTTCATGACTTTCTTAAATACATGAAGTGCATTTTTTAGTATATTTATAATTGTTCTTTTAAAGTACTTGTCTGCTAATTTTAGTTATCTGCATTGTTTTTGAATCTGCTTCTATTGATTAGCTTTTCTCCTAATAATTGATCATACTTTATTCTTTTATGCCTAGTAATTTTTGCATGTATGCTAAATTTGTGAAGTGTATATTTTCAGTCGAAATTTTTTAATTCCTTTGAAAATTTGTGAGATTCCTTGTTGGATATAGCCAGGTTTTTGCAACTAGACCATCATTAAGTTTTCTTAGGGCTTTTAAGATTTCTGTCTACAGTAATTTTGTCCTTCCAAGGACCCTCCACATACAATGCCACATGTGTTTGGAGGCTTTCTTCACTGAATGGTGGAAACACAAACTATCCCCAGCACTGTGTGAAATCTAAGAAGATTTTCACCTATTTCTTTTGATATTTTTTTCTTTCTGGTCTTGGATAGTTTCTTCAAATAGATACAAAAGCCAGAATATAGAGGAAATCTTAAGAGCATTTCTTAGAAATCACTAGTAAGACATCTTGAGAGATTTCTCTCTGATCCTCTATAGAATGCATTTTATCCTGCTTGGTCTTCCTGCTCTCCAAACTCTATCTCTTTATCTCAGGAAGAATGCTAGGCTCTGTTTGGAGCCCTTCCTCCTGTGCAGTGAGGTGAGATGATTGCATTGCTTTTCCAAATGCTTCTTATAGGCTTTGAACATCTGTCTCCAGGCATCCAGCACAGATTCTGTAGTCTTCCAAAAGAAACCCTTCAGTTTCCTGATACAGACTTACATGGGAGTATGCAGTGAGCTCCAGGCCTTTGACTTTTGACTGGATCTTCTGGCTCTTCAGAGCACAGACGGCCTTTCTGCATTTCTCTATGCATGACTTGTCACTGTAGGTCTACCTTGTAATATATATTCTGTTCCTCTATCGAAGCCTAACTGAAACAGATTTTGGCTTTCTTTCTCTGAGGAGTCACTGCTGTATAATGCTTGATACTCAACCCTTGAAAACATTGTTTTATATGTTTGTCATATTTGTTGCTTATTTAACATATAATGGAAAATCTAGTCCTTGATGGCTAGGAGAATGTTTCCTGGTTCCCAGGAAGGGCATGTTTTCTGCTTTGTCTTTCTATGACCAAGAAAACACATTGGTCTTGATATGAATGAGCATTCCTTAACTCAGTCATAAAACTAGTAAAGACATATCTGTTTGTTTGTTATCGTAATAGAAGACTGAAGGGCTGACACATTATCTTAGCTTCACAAAGGGCCTATGCTGGGTAGGAATGCTCTTTAACAACAGATACTCATTTTTCACTGTCTAGACTAGAAAGTCCAAAATCCAAGCAAATCTAGGTCTTGGTGAGAGCTTTATTCTTGGCTTGTAGATGGTCACTAACATCTTGCTGTACCCTTACATGGCAGAGACAGGTACTCTGGTGTCTCCTCTTCTTGTAGATGCACTAATTCCATCACAGGAACCCCAAGGTCACAAGTTCGTTTAAATCTAAGTTACCTGGTGATGGCTTTCCCCGCTACACATTGAGAATTAGGAATTCATAATATCAGTTTGGGGTTAGTCTATAACCAAAGCCAACTTACTTTATTTCATCTTTGTAACCCAGATCTTGATGCTTAAGTAATGTTTCCAGCAGGATCAAGGTCAGATATAGTCCATGCTTCCCACAGACAGCCCTCACCTAGAAATAAAAAAGGACTGAAGCTTCACTAGAAGATTTTATTCAAATTTCCTTTCCATGATCAGACTGTATATGATTTTGACAAAAAATTAATTCCCAGGAGCACATGCTACCACTGAAACACCATTTGACCGAAGAACATCCAGTTGATCATTTACCAATAGCAAGGTGTTACTTAGTTGGCACAGTGGTACAGTTTGTTATTCAGAAGACACTGGGCTTTTAAATGCTGATATTACATTTCTGTTAGCTGTGGGTGGGTGGTCAAGGCCTAGGAATTACTGACACTTCACTATAGGGGTAAATCACAATAAATTTTATATCATTTACTTTGATTTTCAACACAAGCAAGTTGTATTATCAGACTTAGTGTTTTTATCTATACAGTAATATATATGTGAGAAAAACAAGAATTATATAGTATTTCCTTAATGTCATAGCTAGTACATTAAATTATGGAACTTGATATAGAAACTGGATACTGAATAAATATTTATCAGATGAGTAATTTCTCAAGTGCTTAATATGTTCTGGGTCTAGCTAATAAACCAGTTCAGTGCTCACATTGGAAGGTGGATGATGTTTACATTCAAGTATGCCATATTTCCAAGAAAGTGAGAGTGTATGCTGTGTGTGTATAAAAACGTCTACAAAGTAGACTAGATTCAAACAGACTTTACATAACCTTTTAGTGTCTAATTATTTCATTTATTAAATGAGACTAGAACATTCTAACTCCCAGGATTCTGTAAAGATGATGTGATAAATTAAGTACTCAGAATGGAGCCCAGCTCTTATTAAGCACTCTAATGAATAATAAATTTTGAAAGGAAGAAAAAGAGGAAAGTGAAGGAGAGGAAGAATAAGGAGAGGGAAAATACAGAGATGAGAGAGGGAAGCAATGGGGAAAAATGGGTGGAGGAGGGAGAAGGAAGTATCTAGTACAGGGTTTGGGCTAAATAGAAGTCAGTAATAGTTTCACCTAACTAGTATCTAGTCCATACAAAACTATTAATAGCTACTGTTAACATTTTGAGAGGAAGTTTAGTACAGTGGGGTCTTGTTGACCCTAGGGGCTGGGCTTATTAGAGTTAGCGCATTCCTACAGAGAGTAATGTGCTCAGCTGACTGAGAGATTCCCAGGTACAAACTGAGTTTTCCAAAGCCTATGCACCATCCAATCCTTGTTGGGTTCTCACTGGTCACTGTGCCTCTCTAATCACCTTGGGACCAAGTAACAAGAAACAAAACACAGGTCTAAAGTTGCTCCAACCTGTCAGCCTAAGCCTGCTTTGTTCACTTCTCCCCAAGAAACTCCTTCCCTTTACTCCCTGTGCTCTTGGTGGTCCCTGGTGCTTCCCAGAATGGTGTGGTATGACCCTCCTCTCAGGAGGCCGTCAAAACAAAGCAACTTTTCCATAACCATTGTCTTCTAATCTATTGGTCTCCACTGTACTTAAATAATAATAAAATTGACATATTAAAGCAGTGACAAGGGCCAGGGATGCAGCTGAGTGGTAGACTACTTACCTAGCATCCACAAGTCTCTGGACTCCATCTCAAGCACTACACAAATAAAAAGCACCAACAATGACCCTTCCCCACCACCCAAAAAGCAGTAACAAGGAGCTTATCTTCACTTATCATCATGGAAAGAAAGACAACAAATTTGAGTTTGAAACTTAGATGTAAAAGAATAAAGTCAGGGAAGTTTTAAAAAGAAAATTGACAGTATTTTCAAAGATGAAGAAATGGATACAGAAGAATAAGGAGCTGAGGGAATGCACGAAAGTGTAAGTAGTGGGTGAACTAATGTAGGGTGCATGCTGCAACTTCCACTCTGCTGTTGCTATACATCCTTTTCCTGTTATCCTGAACTTCTTTCCAAGATGGTGGCTTCTGAGAGCTCAAACTGTGTTCCATTATTTATTTATTTGTTTATTTATTTATTCATTTATTACCACCACTGCCTAGCACAGTCTTGGAAAATAAGGGATCAACAAATGTCCACATGGCTGAACGAATGTGTTGAAATCACCGAAGAGTGGAGGGTGCTTGGAGATTGGCAAAACCAAAGGGGCAGTTATTGGTCACCCTAAAATAACCAGAATTATCCTCATGATTACAGGATGTTGGTGTATTTTTAAACATTAATATTAAAAGATTCTTTACTTTAGACAGCACTGAGTTTTGCTGTCAGCTACAATGAACAACAGCTTGTAAATAACGAGCAGGGATTGCTGCAAGAATGGTGGATGGCTCTAAGAGATGATACCCACGGAGGCAGAGCAGCAATGTAAACACCAGCAAGAGGGCCCTGGGGCTGCTCAAGACTGTTCTCAAGATCTTCAAAGAAAAAGATTCATAATGATGACCCTCGTTTTTCTTCTGTTGTAAACAAAATGCCTGTGTTATTCAAAATTTACATATGAAATGACGATTCATTTCTCAAAACATTGCTTGAAAGAGTGATAACTGACAACTTCCTCCTTCCCCTCATACTTGTGTTTCACCCCATCACTTCGCATGCTGGCTTCCAGCTCCAAAGGTTCTTGGGGTTTCTGTGGGTTTATAGCTATTGAAGACTTTCCAGTCCTGACTATAGATGGTGTCTATAGGATGGGACTGCATGCTCCTCTAACTCCCCTTTTGGTTTTCTTGATCACTCCAGTTTCTGATGATTACTTTAGCCTCTTTTAGTGCCTCCTCTGTGTACCTACTTCTTAACAGTGGATCTCTTCTTCCCTTTTCATTTTCCCTCATGTTCTGGAGTAATGGCATGACTTATAGAAGAGTTCTACATCACTGCTCAGTTTCAATCTCTCTACCAAGATCTTCATGTTCAAAATTGAAGTCATTACCCCTTTCCCTACACCCCAAATTATTCCTTTTCCATTTCCTATTTCAGAGAATGGTGCAAACACCCAATAGTTACCAATGCCAGAAACTTGGGGGTCATTCTTGATTCCTCCTCATTTATACTCCACTTCCAATGGGTTACCAAACCCTGTTTTCTACCTCCCAATGTCTCCACCCCTGCTAATAGTGCGTTAGTTTAAATCTTCATAATCTTTGGCTGGATTATTGTAAGAACCTTTGAAAAGGATTTCTCACTCTAGGTTTTCCAACCTATGTCCATTCTCCAAATTCTCTTGGGATGTTCTTTAAAACTTCAGATTTTATACCACTTACTTATTCTTTTATGTCTTCAGTGATCCCTGTGTACCTTCAGGATAAAATTCACCTTCCTTAGGAAAACCCTTCATACACTGACTGGTATCTTAGTTACTTTTCTCTCTTTGCTGAGACAAAATACCCAACACCCAGAATGAAGGAAAGGTTATTTAGCTCACAGTTCGTGGAGGGTTCAGTCCATGCTTGGCTGGCTCCAAAGCAGTGTGGCACATGGCACAGGACATGAATCAATCACAAACTCTGGAAGCTTGCCCCATGACTACATGAGGCTTTGGAGGTACATCCCGCTACAAACCATAACATTTCACCTCTGGACCCCCAAAGACACATTCACATCTTTTATGCAAAAGACATTTTAGTCCATCTCTAAGAGTTGCCAAAGTTCTAACAGTTTCAGCATTGCTGAGAAGTCCAAGTCCCAAGTCTCCTCAGGGATGTAAGACAAACTCTTAGCTGTGAATCCTGTACAAGTGAAAAGTTAAACACTTCCAACATTCAATGGCACAAAACAAGCAGTTTCATTACAAAAGTCACAAACAGGGGGGATACAAGCATTGGATAAAGCAAATCCAACATCCATTATGGTAAACATTCAGTCCTGTAGTTCCATGTGGAACATCTGAAGTAATCTGTGATAAGTTGTGAGCTCCACAGGGCTTGCATGACTCCACCCTTATGGCGTTTCTGGGGGTTACAGCTCCCATGGGTTCTCTCTTAGGCCTGCTTTGCTCCCTCCTTGTAGCTTTCCTTAGACAATCCACATTCCTGGCTTTTCCAAACTTCCGGGTTCTCTAATGCACCTTTCACTTCATACTCACAACTTCACACACTGCCCTCTCAGGGGCACACTGCCTGGCATCCCAAGCCTTTTGAAATCTAGGTAGAAGCCTTCTTAACTTCAGAACTCTTGCCTTCTGCATATGCCTAAAATCAGTGCCACATGGATGATGCCAAGGTCTGCTGCCAGGTGAAGCAGTAGCCAAGCTTCCTTCTCTCTTGGCTGTAGGGGTCAAGTGCTTGGATTTTTGAGCACTCTGAACCTGATTTTGAGGAAGAAATTCTCTATGCTGCCACCTTTCTGGAACATGGTGCTCTGCAGTTTTCTTCTCAAAGCAAAGCTTTTCACTTTTGCAGTTTTGAGGTTGCAAAGAGTGGAGATTTACTGCTCCTAGTGATACCCTCAGACCATATTTTCTATTCTCTTGTTTTTCCACAGCAATCAAGATCTCCTCAGCTCTGTCTTTGCAGTCCACAGCTTTACCGGAGTTTCCTTTCTGATCAAACTCACAACATTTTAAATCATCCTGCTGGGCTCTTTGCTCTTGATTTGCAACATAAATCTGGCTGGAAGCCCACAACAATAGCTATGCCACTGCCCCAACATTTGACTGCCTTGAAATTTCTTTCCTCAGATTAATCAGTCTGCCACACTTAATCTCAGTCTCGGGCAAAGTCTCTGGACACAAGCAAAATGCAGTAAACTTTCTGCCAAGCCGTAATCCACCTCGCCTGGAGTTCAGCACCCAAAGCAGCTCTTCTTCCCAGCAGAAACCTCCTGAGCCCAATCTTCACCAGCAGGATTTCTATCAGCCTTCTGGTCTCCTGAGATTTGACCAGAATCTCCCAGACAGAACAGCCTAAGGTGGTCCAGCTGTACTCTTTCAGGCAACATCTCTGAACCTTTCCAAACTCTTCCCACAAGCCATTCCCAAAGGCTGTAGAACCACATGGTCAAGTACAGTCACAGCAATGACCCCATTCTTGATAGCAAATTCTGTCTTAGTTACTTTTCTCTCTTTGCTGAGACGAAATACCCAACACCCAGGATTAAGGAAGGAAAGGTTATTTAGCTCACAGTTTGTGGAGGGTTCAGTCCATATTTTGCTGGCTCCAAGGCAGAGTGGCACATGGCAGAGGGCAACAGTTCCTGGCAGTGGAAAACAGCAAAAGCAAAAAGAGCACAAAGGGAGGAGTAGTGGCAAACAGGCTCTTTCCCTCCCTTACATTGTATGCAAACTCTCCACCCCAGGGCATGTGTAGCACTCACATCCATAATTCCAACATTTGCTCATGAATCAATCACAAACTCTAGAAGCCTGCTCCGTGACTGCATGAGGCTTTAGGGGGACATCTAGACACAAACCAGAACAACTGACTTCTACTTTCTATTCTAAAGTCAATCCAAGTAGGATTTAACAGAAGTTTCCTGAATTAGCTGTAAGCTCTCCTAAGCCAGTGCGATTTCACACTACTCCTTTTACCTCAAATATCTTTCCCTTCTCCTCTGTCTCATCCTTTGCCAAATTTGCCTGTCCTCTAAGATTCCGTGTTTACACTTTTTCCTCTGGAGAGCTTTTAGAGGAGGTTATATTGGTGTCTTTCTCTGTATTCAATGCCACTGCATTCATCACAGACCTGTGAGGATGTGCTGCCTTTCCACTAAGTTCCGGAGAATGAAGCTGAAGTAATAGAGCTTCTCAGTGCCTCTCACAGTGTTGAAAGCATACTGAATGATGCTCTTGTGACAGATGCAAAAATAAATGTGCTGTATTGCTCAGAAAGATAGCTATTGCCTTGGAAGTGGGAGATGATTCAAGATTAGTAGAAATCCTTTGTCTTAGGGCATAGCTTATAGATATACAATGGTTAAACATGAGAAAGGAGCCTGACAAACTTCAGAAAGAGGCCTGACCAACAGGTTAGTTTCACTGGCATCCAGGCTAGGGTCTGGCTGCAAGTGTGAACTTCATATTTACCATCCCTGATCAGCTCAATAACAGAAACAGAACATTTGCCTCCTGATTATAATGAGGAATCTGCACGACAACAAGGCAAAGAGCAATTAGAGGTGAGCAGTCTGCGTGC